CAATATTACCTGAACGTAATTAAACGCAAGAAATTAATTAATATTTTATTTCAAAATTGATTAAAAGCCGCCTGTTATATGGACGTTACGAATATTATATAATACATAGAAGCTTGGGAATTGGATCCTCGACCTGACAACACACGCTTGAGGTAAAATGTAAGTACAGGGAAATCTGAGGAGAATATATAACGAAGATTCTTGAAAGAAGCTTGCCACACTAAATTACATGAAGCTTTCAAAACATGGAGTAATTAAGTGTTTGATTGACGTTTCGCTCCTTTGGTTTTAATACTGATTTAATTAAACAATCTTTTATTTTACTGGCATTATTCTTTATCTTAACTGGCTTTTCAATTGCCGCTTTGCCCGTTTCAAAGGTTTTACTTCGAGGTCTCAATGCGACAAAATGGCAGGATAAAAAGTAGCTCTTGTTAGACGCTGATAATGTTACTTTCAATAGGTAAAAGAATGTTTCCAAATCGGTAGATTCCGTTGTTTCTGAACCAGACAAAAGATTTATTTGTGTGTATCTAACAGATCACAACACTGATATAGTCAGAATCACTTTAATTGAAATTGATAGCCTAATTTTAGTGGTCACATGAAGCTAACTTCAATTAAACCACAAGGGACAACCACTAGACAAACATGGCAGCTACTAAAATCAATTCATGTTACTTAGAGGTCTGTTTGTTTGACTACGTAAGCTAAAGCATCAAGTCTAAGAACAGTAAATAGTTTCAACTTGGCAACTGCGTAAAGACAGACGTGTTCGTTAACTAGTTCTGTAATAAACTTAACTAGCTTTCACTTATCATTACTTATAACTAACGCCAGAATACTGAAAAGGTACTCAATTTTAAATTGTATTTGAATATCGTGCCATCAAATGGAGTGGAGTTCGAGTATTTGAACATACGGCTGTTTAAAATGTAAAAGTTTGATATTAAAATAAGATCCCTTGCAAGAATAGGTACACAAAAGACATACAAGTAGGTGGATTAAGAACCTCCCTTTTTTCAAAGTAGGTAAAGTATTTCTGTGCAGATTGCAATAATGCAATCTTCTTCTACAAAAAAAAAAAACAAAAATCTTATCATTAATGCTTTACACATAAGTGTAATAGGCGTATTTATTTACGCTCTGTAAAATTTCAACTTAGTATCTACATCGCGTAGCTAGATAACAAAGCGCACCTATGGTTGATATCACTCTACATCACCCTAAGGATAGATTCGTAGAGAACGCCTATGACTTCAAACCCACATTTATACTAGTTTAGTGAAAAAGTTAAATATTGCTTTTAGCTGATGCTAGCTCAGATTTACATCTCAAGAATCCGTGTTTCGTCGCCATTCGTTTCTACATGTTTATACAATGTACAGAAGACGTTAAACATCGCAGACAACGTCCCTGTGTTTGTCTTTGGAGAAGTGCTACAGTTCCCTTGAGCGCTGTCTCAGTATTTGTTAAAAGTTTGCGAGCAAACTACATTTAACTGTACGAGTATTTTCTGATTTACCCAAAGCTGTCGTATATTTTCTCAGTGACTTGGAACATGTAGGTATGTATCAATAGATATGTAACAATCACCTCCCCAACTAAGATTCGGTTAAACTAAAGACCAACTACGTAGGAAATTACAGTACATAAATGCATGCACCAACAAGTACGTGTGGGAGAGCCATGCTTCGGCACGAATGGACCGGAGTGATACCACGGCCTCCCAGAAAACCGACGTGAAGCGACGCTTGCGTTGTTTCGTCGCGTGAGTGAGGTTACCGGAGGCCCAATTACCCTCTCCTTCCCCAATCTCCCCAATCCCTGAATCCCCAACGATCCTCAAACTCCTAATCCCCAAAAAGCCGGTAACGCACTTGTAACGCCTCTGGTGTTTCAGGTGTCCATGGGCGACGCCGACTGCTTACCATCAGGTGATCCGTCTGCTCGTTTACCGGCTTATGGCATAAAAAAATAAAGTACACTCTCTGTTCCGTCATGATCCTGTAGGATGGCAATTTGACACGACCAAATAAAGGTCACACTCAGAGCCAAGGGGTTTACGTACTTCCTTAGCCACGAGAAATGGTACTTTTAATAATACGTAGTCCGCAAGACATTCGTGATGCTCCCGATGTCAAACTGTTATGAACTTTGATGTACTTGGACCACTATGGACACTTACCATCAGAGATCTGTAAATCCTTATCCTTACTAATATTATAAATCGGGAAGTGAGTTTGTCTGTTTGTTTGTTTGTTCCGCTTTCACGCCGTAACTACTAAACCGATTGCTTTGAATTGTAGACGTAAAGTTAGAAGTCTGGATTAAATAATAGGGTACTTTTTAACCCAGAAAAAAATGATATTCTCGAGGGAAAACGAAATTATTGGTATAGATGGCGCTGTGTGTATTGGTATATGTCACATAGGCTACTATTTATCCTTTTGTGACGCGAGCGAAGCCGCGGGTAAAAGCTAGTATAGTATAAAAACGAATAGTGCAGTCAAACAAGTAAAAATATGAATGAATATTACAAACTGTTCGTTGATATTAATTTTACGATATTGAATCATATCCTACTGTTTTTCTGATTGCTGAACATAAATCGTTCGACGTAATTGGAACTCGCGTACTGCATATTACATACAGATTTATGCATCACAGATTCACAGGTGACACATAAAATCTCAAAATGCATCGGTTTGTTATTTTTGACTACAGGGACTTGTCATCAAACATATTGGTGAAACATATTTTGTCATATTTTCATTTTTGTTTCGCATTTTAACTACGAGTAAAACGTATATTCTATATGAATATAAAAACATTTTAAAACATGTTACAAAAAATTCAGTTACAGTTTTCCGAAATCCAATCACTAGATGTTTTTAATTATTTTGATATTCCGAGAAAAAACGTAACCTGCGTATAATTAACAAAAATATTACATACGAGTTTCCAAATTTTCATTTTAATTTCTAGAAAACCTTACTGCAAAAAATCGTCGTTGCAGCACTAATTACTCATATTCTAGAAACTCCGACGAAATTCATTTTGAACATTCGCGAGATAATGTTCACGATGTTGCATGTTCGCTGTTCATGTTTCGTGTTACACCCGCGAGCATGACGCGGAAGTGAATCAAATTACTTTCATGTTGACACTGCTCGCAGCTCGCTATGTTGTGTTGTAAGAGAGTTATTTTCTTTATAGAAGACGTGAGATAATTAGTGTGCCACGCTTTGTTTTGCTCGTGATGACAGCTCTTCAGTTTTCCATTAACTCGTCGAGTACCGGTTTTGTAGACACAATTATAGGACAATAGGTTGCGGTCACCGGTGACCGCTTGGTGTTTGACAGTTTAAGATAGAAAACATCTTGCTTGATATTTAATCTAAGATATATCGAAAAGATTTTTTTAAGAAATGGGTACTGCATTAACTGTTTCGTTTTGATTGCTGCACTCTAAGAAATTAATCATTGCATTCTGTTTCTAAAAATTGTATCAAAATTACTTATCTTTTAGTGGTATTTTCAGTAATTCATTAATTACAACAAACATGTAATTGATGACTTTAAAGGAATACAGTGTAAGAATGTTTCATTGGTTATACATAAAATTATCACTAATTTAAACCACTGTGTCAACAAATTCATACATTATTAATATACGTTTGTTTGATTAATAAAACACATCTTGTAATACATCGTAACATTATGAAACTTCGGCAAACGTAAGCCAGAAACTTTTGCTACAGTCTGATGGCAACAGGATAATCTTGAGTAGAAAGTTGTAAAGTCGATAGGATTGGGAACGGGCGTACGATTCAGTTCAATACGTTTACTTAAATATAATGTTGATGTTTGAAGTTCAATATGTATGTTTTCCAAAGATGAAAAAGGAAATCTCTGAAGTACAATTTCTATTTAAAAATACTTTTAACTTACAGATCGTATTCAGAGGTTGACTTTTAAGAGATTGAATTCGACAATGGAAACGATTGAAATGAGAAGAAATATAAAATTAAACAAAAACTAAAACCAGCTGTAATATAACGCTCAATAAATCAATCCAATTGTCTGAAGGCTGAGCACGAACGAAACAATGAGCAGAACCTTCCCACTCATCTCCCTTCTCGTTACTTGGGAACAAAATGTTAAGGGTCATCTTACATTTTCTCGACTCGAAATAACCGTTGTTTCTAATTATAGTAACCATTATGATATCGAGTTATCAAACCGTATCCTGGTTACAATTACTAAATTAGGTTCAACTTGAGCCGCGCCGAGGTATTCGTAAAACATATTGCAAGTAAGAGTTGTAACATGAACCTTTTCCCTTTTTCCGCGACGTACACATACTCATAAGGTGATCCCTTATCTCCATACGGGCTACGACCTTTCAGTATATTCGGTTGAAATCCAAATAGTTGCGCCAGTACCAAAACACAAACCCAATAAGAACAATTTTACAGATTAACTTGGTTGGTCAGCATGTGGTTTCTATTTTCTGAACCGACAGATGGAAACAAAGGCCGCATCTACCGCTAAGTACATTTCGTGATGCAGTCATTAAAACCATTAAACTAACACAATAAAAGCGCTCAACCAGAACTAAACGGGAACAACTCCAGTAATGTACTTTCGTATCCTGTTACTTTAGGGAAGTGCCGATATTGCTTGTAATAGGGTTCTGATAGTATAGATTGAGTATATTGTATTATGCCGTGATTATTAATATTTTCACACGTAACTATTATTGATGTATTTTTATTTTCTTTTTTCCGTTTTTTCTCGTTTATCCTTTTCAGATAATTCTCTTAAATTACGAACACAATTCAGCTTAAAGCTGCAAACATACAACCGTGGGTAATGGGTAAAAACTACATATTTATAAATGTTTGCGACTTCATATTTCAAGTATCAGTCGATACTTCTTTAAAACCAAATTACTTTACGTAAGAACACACTGTCAGCCATGTTATTTTATGGTTTACAAGAATAGAGAACATTCATTACAAAGCACAATTCCGTGGCACCCCTATCTGTACAGGTAGAAATCCATTGTAGTCTCATTTGTTAACAGGAAATACAGATTTTCGCCAAGTCATTGTTTTGTAGGCTTCCCTTTATATTGTTAGCTAATGACTCGGTATTTTTATAATTACCTAAGCTTATATTTCAAGAGGGGATTTTTCTTTTTTGAACAAAATTAGAATGGCAGCTTCATGTTTGGCTTCTTGATAGATCAATTCTTGCCGCTTCGAAATATGTATCTAATTAATTTTATTGATTAAATGATGTATTTTATATACATTAACATTGTTAAAGCACTTCTCTTTGTTATTTCGAAATAATTGGTTCTAAACATTATGTAGAAGCCTAACTATACTTACACCAAATATCTAAATTCACAATGTATGTATCTGTCACATTGTTTGCTTTCATTAATTAATATTTGCTCCAACATTTGCGGCCTAATGGAAAGTTTTGGTATCGATTTGGTGCTCTGAAAATTAATTGGAATAATTTGGCAAGAAGGACGAATGGGGACAGGTTGGGTAGCAACAAAACCTCATCAAAAACAAATTGGAGGAAATTAAATGTGATGCGTAAATTTGCTTGATTGTTAAAATCACTCCGTCATGGGATTTAGAACTCTATATGCGCAGTAATATAGTTTTGTTTACGTAAACAAATAGGAGGACGTACTAGGCACATATTTATTATTACGTCGATAAACGCGATGGAGTCAGTAAATCATAAAGTGTGCGTACCTATTACATTACCATAAATATTGGGGTAATAAAATATATTTTTGAAATAAACTGCTTTCCGCGTCACCATATAAATAAAAGCCACACCATAAAACGTTTTTTTTTTCTGCAGTAAATATATTTCATAGTATAAACCAATATATCAAATTAGTATTAGTCACACTTCATACACATGAATTAAATTTTACCGCTTATTGCGCTTATACTAAAAAAAATTCATACTATCGTATATATAGAGGAAACAATCTCAATAATGGGAAATGTGAACATTGTTCCGGAAAATGGCGTTTAGGTCGATAAAGTATTGCTTTTGGGAAGCCCAATAGCCGGCTAGTATTAACTAAGAATGACGAATTACTCACGCACTGAGAATAGCTCTATTAGTTTCGAGTGACCGAGGGACTCTTCCTCGTGAGCAGCGTGCGCGTCGCAACGATGTCGCGTAGCCTACTGCCAGCTAGTAATTAAATTAGGATTTCGCTATTTTGCTGTTGACTTCTAAGTGGGTTGAAATATTGCAAAACATTTCTTCATTGTGGTTGTGGTACTTTATACAAAATGACAAATACGTATAAGTTTAATTTCAGTCATATCTTTCTACTATACACTTGTGAACTCCAATTAAGTATTGAGTTAAATTCGTCTATTTTTATTACAAAACAGCTCGCAGGATCGTTCAGAAGCAAATCTATTTTCGTTGCCTCCACAGCCGGAGTAGAACATCCTCATACATTTTCGTCTGACTATATCAAAGAACCAGGCCACTTGCATGTAGTTGCACGGTCCTTTAACTGGTACTTGATAACACATGTATGGCATATTCTTTAGACTCGATGGGAACGGTCCATCTACGGGGCCTGGAGATGTAAAAACGAAATTAGCAGGAGTAGGAACAAAGTGGTTTGTAACTTTTTAGGGAGGTTCAGTCGCAGTTGCTACCACTTATAACCATAAATATATTATTCTTTAAATCCATGTAAACGGAATTAATCAATTTTTTGTTTGAATTACTTTGAAATGAAAACAAAAGAGAAACATAAAATATTTTACACTTCATCAATTTCAATTAAAGCTATTTTATTTAACTTCAGATTATTCTGATGAAAATGCAATAAACAAAATATATAGATTAGGGAAAATAACAAAAGAAAGTAATAAACCAAGGCCAGTACTGTGTTCATTCGTAAACGAATGGCGAAAGAATGAAATAATGAGAAAAAAGAAAGATCTTAAGGAGATATATATTACTGAAGACTATCCAAGGGAAGTTCTGGAAAAAAGAAAGGCATTGCAGGTAAAGTTATTGGAGGAAAGGAAGAAAGGGAAAATAGCATTTTTGAAATATGACAAGCTCGTAATAAAGGAAAATGATCCAATCAACGATAAAAGAAAAAGAGAAACTTCTTCTTCTCCAAATTCCTCAGATGTTCAGCCAAAAAAACAACAAGCCATATCCTTCAAAGCCAATAGAACGAACGCATTCGACGTAATGAGAATGAGATCTACCTCTCTTTCTAACGTTTCTTCAAATAAACAACAGTAGCAACTAAATCTCGGCAACCGGAAAATACAAAACTATACCATTGAAATACAACCAGCATGCAAAACCAACCCTCCCCCAAGCCGATTGGTCATCGTGGGGGAAAATGACCAACACCCTCTAAGGAAAGACAAGCGACAAACGAAAAATAGCGGTGACATACACATAGCCACGCTTAATACTCGGTCACTTAGAACCCCAGAGAAACTTATCGAACTAGAAACAGAATTCAACAAAATTAACTGGGACATTATAGGAATAAGTGAAGTACGAAGACTAGGAGAAGAAATAGAAGACCACGGAAATTATATACTACATTATAAAGGAGAAACACCAGGACAATATGGTGTTGGCTTTTTGATAAAAAAGAAACATACTAACCGAATAGAAGAAATTAAAGGAATAACTGATAGAATAGCAATACTTAATATCAAACTTCCCGTAAAAAATAACAGAGATGAATTATGGTCAATTATCCAAGCCTACTCGCCAACTGAAGCGGATAACAAACAAGGTAATGAACGAATTGAAGAATTTTATCAAAAATTACAAAATACAGTTGATACTGCTCACAAAAATATAATAGTAATGGGTGACTTCAACGGACAAATTGGAATATGTCAAAGTGGTGAAGAGTATGCGGTTGGGAGATACGGTAGTGGTATTAGAAGTAAAAACGGAAGGAGATTGGTTAACTTTGGAATCGAAAATAAACTTAGTATTCTGAACAGCTTCTATAAAAAGAAAAAGAACAAGAAATGGACGTGGACTTCCCCAAATGGACTCTTCAAAAACGAAATCGACTATGTTATGACTAATAAACCTAAACTTTTTATAAATCTAGAAATTTTACATAATTTTAACTTCAATTCAGATCACAAAATGGTTCGTGCTACGTTTCGAGGAACTCATACTAAGAAAAGTCGAAGGCTGCACACTGGACCGATACCCTATATAGACAGTAAAAATAATGAAGACCTAATAAACAGTATAAAGAAAATGCTCGAAAGTGAAGGCAAAGAATACAACAAGCCAATTGAAGCGAAATACTGCGATTTTGTGAATACTCTCAAAAAAGAAACCCGGAAAGTGCATACAAACAATAAACTCACCCTATCCGCCGAAACATTACAATTACTCAATGAAAGGAAATTACTTTTGCAAAGCAAGACAAACAAAATAATACGGACAAAGATTGCAGAAATAAGTAAAAACATCAACAAAAATATTAGGAAAGAAAGAAAACAAAAAAGAGCAATCACATTCCAGTATCACATCAATAAAACAGGCGGAGTGAAGAGTGCATTCAAAGAACTAGAACCTAAAAAGAACTGGATGCCAAATATGAAGGATAAACATGGCAGGAGTACTACAAAAAGGAAAGATATATTAAATATTGCTACGGAATATTATAAAGAGCTGTATAAATGCAAAAATGAAAGACCTATTGCGACTATCATGGAGGACACGCATGGAAATGAACCTATTCCACCCATTCTAATAGAGGAAACTGAAAGGGCTATCACTACACAGAAGCTAGGCAAAGCACCAGGTCTCGACCAAATCACCAACGAACTGCTGAAAATATCCATGCCAGGAATTGCCCCAAAGTTGACTAGCTTGTTCAATGAAATAATAACAACAGAAGTAATCCCAGAAGATTGGACGACATCGGTCATAGTTTTGTTGCACAAAAAGGGAGACAAGGGAAATATTAATAATTATAGGCCAATAAGCTTGATGTCTAATATATACAAGGTATTTTCTAAAATACTATTATTTAGACTAACTAACACCTTTGATGAGAACCAGCCGAAGGAGCAAGCTGGATTCAGAAGTAATTTTTCTACCATTGACCACATTCACGTCCTGCGCCAGATACTGCAGAAATATAGGGAATACAACAAAACATATTACTTGGGTTTTGTGGACTTTAATAAGGCGTTTGACTCCTTGGAACATCACTACATATGGGAATCACTAGAACAACAAGGGGTCCATAAAAAGTACATACGCATCCTAAAAATCATTTATGGAAAAAGCAGAGCGCATATCAAATTAGAAAGGTCAGGGGAAGAGTTTTCGATAGAAAGAGGCGTACGTCAAGGAGACCCGATCTCACCGAAGATATTCTCAGCTGTGTTGGAGTTGATCTTCAGGAGACTTGACTGGGAAAATTTCGGTATTAACGTAAACGGAGAAAAACTGAGTCATTTGAGATTCGCTGACGATCTGATAATTTTCTCTGAATGTCCCAGGACCCTGGAAGGAATGCTACAGCAATTGTCAGATGAAAGTGCTAATGCAGGGCTCACAATGAACATCTCAAAAACAAAAATAATGAGCAATTCCCTACAAAAACCTGCTATTACAATCGACAATCAGCAGCTGGAATATGTAAGCGAATATATTTATTTAGGCCAATTAGTATCACCGACAGAGTGTATGCAGAAGGAAATTGAAAGAAGAATAGCAAATACTTGGAAAAAATTCTGGTCACTAAGCGAAATAATGAAAAATGAAGAAATGCCTATGACAGAGAAACGAAAAGTCTTCAATGTTTGTTTGCTGCCATGTCTTGTATATGGATGCCAAACTTGGGCCTTAACTAAACACCAGCAGAATAAATTAAAGATATGCCAAAATGGAATCGAGAGAAGTGTACTGGGGGTAAGAAGAAAGGATAAGATACAACTTAAAGAAATCAAAGAAAATACCAAGTTCGGAAATGTCCTATCAGTATATAGAACGCTGAAATGGCGCTGGACAGGACATATGCTGAGAGAGGAGAGAGAGAAATGGACCAGAATAATTACGGAATGGTACCCTAGAGACCGCAGGAGAAGTAGAGGAAGACAGTATAAACGATGGGAAGACGACTTGAAACGAGTAGCAGGGCCAAAATGGTTACGTGTAGCAAAGGACAGAAACAAGTGGAAATCCTTAGAGGAGGCCTTTGTCGAAAGACAAGCTGTTGTAAGAGGAGAGAAACCAATTGCTGAGATAATGTTAGAGTAGTTTTTAAGTTTGTTTATTTAACTCTGTTACAACTTTGGTTACAACTGTAATTCTTGTTATTGTAACTACAGCAATAAAGGCTTATTTTATTTTATTTTATTTTATTTTATTATTCTGTATCACGAAATATATACGGATGGAATTCGCATTGTACAAAAATATAATCCGAATATTTAGTCTTGTTCAACATTTTCTAGTGAATTTGGATTTTCATCTGTAGCGTGTACTAGAAGCAAATTGCATACAAGTCTCTTGTAAAACAATTTTCGTTGTAAAATTGTTTCCAATATAGCTTTATTGGTCCGTGAAACACAATAACAGAACGGCAATTATTGCGATAAACAGACGAACCCCGTCATCACTATGATGGATTATGTAACATGTCAAAGTCATAATTACAAGGTCATATATTCTATTAATAGGATAAACCTAAATTACTTACGTCCATCTTTCACATAGTCGTGCATGTAGAGATCAGAAAATTTAGAACCAAATACTAGGACAACATTGGCGGTCAATAAACAGAGTATTGTAAGTAACGTCCGCATTGTCTAATCCAATTTCTTCTGGGACGATCACGTGGTGCAAACATGGCGGCATTGCAATCAAACGCGCGAACAACCAGGGCCATCTCGTTGGCATTTTAATTCACATTACATTTACACAAACAAATCTGAACGCCAATTTTTAACAGTCCACATTTTTGGTAGAAGTGATGACAAAAATGTAGCGGAGTTGTCTATTTATTTATATATATAGGTACGTGTGGTACTGAAGCTTTGTTCCAGCGAGTTTTAATTCAAAAGGAATTTATTTAAATTTACATTTTACTCCTGTTTCCCGAACAAATAGCATCAAGGGAGTACTTTCAGCGGAACATTTTGCTGTACCAACGAAATCGCGAATGTCAGGCGCTTTAAACACCGCATTAACTTGTATTTATTATGTATAAAAGGAAATTAGACACTAATAATGCATGTTAATATTTATTGGTTATCCTGGAGCGTGGCAGCCCTGTACGCAATCAGAAACAATCAACCGTTATATTGATGTAGCCAGTTTTATGGCCACAATCTGTATGAATTTTAGATAAAGGGAAGATTGCTCTTTTATTGCGAATCATACTTACACAACTTGCATACAACATAGCACTGTTTTCAATTCAAACACGAATAAATCCAAGTTTCCAAGCTTTTGGTGTATTTCAAAGTTTTTCTTCTTTCCATTTGTATGTACTCGTGTTTCTTTGCTAAGCCCTTGTAAATTTCGTTGGTATATCTGCTGTTATTTAAGCAGCAGTTGTGTGCTTTCTCACACTTTCTTAGAATCGTTTAAGCGCTGTTTTGCACTTACTGTATTATTTCTCGGGCCTTAATCCCACTGAATTTACATTCAATCTGTTCTGTTTCTTAGTTGATCACGTACAAGCGATTTAGATTCAATGGAAGGTAAACCTGTATCATAAATACCTTATTTTCATTTTATTTGAAGAAGTAGGTATGTGTATAGTAAGGTATCAGTCTACAATAGTCAGGGTTCTTTGAAAATGGACTTAAAGCGTCCATAGTCTAGTCACAAAGCTTTGTGTCATACGTAAGCGGATTTCATTTTTACGTGGAACCATTGTCCTGATTTCTGTGATGGTTGAATTAGATTTGTCACATACTACTTCAGTCTGAAATGAAATAAAGATATATGTGATATGTATAACTACTACTACAAAAAAGAATATCTGCTAAATATTAAAACTTTCGTGGGACATACTAAATTAATTATTATGTATTTGGCTTTCTTAAGCCATGCTAGAGGCTCAGTTGAGTTCCTCGTCAAACAGTTACGTAAATAACCCGAAAACATAGTAATTAATATCTGCTAAAGTAATCGTGTCGGAATATGACTACCGAAATACACAAATATAAATACTAAAATCTTTATATTTTCGTTAATAATTTACAGTGTATTAAATTGATGAAACAAGAATAATAACGAAATGAATTGAAAAGTTGAATGTAACAAATAATTATTAAATATTCAATTCTGCTTCTTTTATATCAACGCGTAGAGACAATAAAACAAAAATTGCCGAGGACAATAAATTCAAAATGAAACCACAACTCATTATTCGGTAATCAAAAATTCGAGTATGCTGAGAAGTTTTAAAATGTTCATTTAAAACAGAATATCAGATGGAATGTCAAATAAATGAGAACGTATCCACGGATAGCGTTGATTAAACAGAATTCAAACATTACAGTATAAAATTAGCCCTGAACGTTACGGAACCATATGAATGTGAAATAAAGGTTTACATTTCCCAATTCGAACGTTAAAAACAAAGGTCTGTTGGAAAATATCACAAATCCCATCGAGATTGGAGCAAAAACTTGAATAAAGTGACACAGTTGAATATAATTCAGCTTTTTTGTAACAATAACTCTACAGATAAAGTAATAACACGAATGTATTGAATTTTTTACTTGTTATCAAATGTTTTATAGTTATGAAATGGAAAATTCTGAGAATTTTACTCGCGTTAGTATGAGTTGTATAGCCGAGACTGTAATATAATAATTTGGAACGAAAGAAGCCAACACGGTTTACCCGTCTATCAGAGATTATCAAACATATCTCCAATAAAACAAGTTGGGATCAGCAAAAAAAATAGCAACAAACAAAACTGAAGAAATCCACAAAACCTTTTATCAAGGGTAACATGTTCAGCAATTAATCAATAAGACAGGATCTGGGCCTTTCGGTTGTCATGACAACGGCCATACCGTCTAAAAATAAATCGTACAAATTAAATTGTACAAGCACTGATTGAGCCGAACGAATGTAGTGATTAAAAGTTTTCTTTTCAAACGTTTAATTTATTATTCCATTCGGTCTCGTTACTTGGATTTTGTAGAATGCTTTAGCAGTTTATGTATTGATTAGCAATAAATTTATTGGTTTTCAACAACCGTCTATGATGTTTCAGAACACATTTTAGATCGAAATATTATTAAAGCAACATTTCCAATTACAATTTTTTATTATAATTCGTAGTGAAGAAGGTTATCGCTTTGAACTCCTTAAACCCTTTTTATAATTGCGATTTTAGGCAAGAAACCAATGTAATTCCTTTTTTGTTTGTTGATCACAAACATGCCTCAGCCAATCATTAACATGCCTACACTAGTAACTGTTTCATCTATGTCTATCCTATATAGTTAATCTATAGCATTTCATTATGAGAGGGTTGTGTCGACTCCTTTACATTAGACTACACAACATTAATCGATTGCCGATTTCATTTGATGTGTAGTCGCGCCAACATCACGCTACGGTTTGCTACAACTTGTCAGCAAGTTACATTTAATTCAACGGTAGTTAATGACATTATGTGTGTTGAAAACAATTTACCAGTGTTTGTGTTTTCTGAAGGATATAACCTGGATGTCTTCAAGGTCAGAGTGAATGGGTTGCATAGGTGCTCCATCATAACTCGCATGATCGCTTACCACCAGACGCAGGGGCGTGCACAGAGATTTGAAGTAGGGTAGGCAGAAGGTATCACATGATTAAAAAAAATTTGGTCTACATTAATCTCGGAAAATAAAACTCCCGAAACATCATAATTTTGAGTAGGTAATTAGGTTTAGTAAGTATTTTATTAATTTGTTTAAACAAATTAGGTACATAATTATTTTCAAACTATCCGTGTATAAAGTTGATCAACATAGATACCTAGGTATCTATTTTACAAATCTATTAACTAGGTACCTACTTTGGAGCGGCGAAGTACAAATGGTTACACATCAAGCTATGCGACACCAGTATAAACTGACCGTTAAATGCATAGAAAAATCGTACAAAGCGAGATCAAGATGACTGGATTTTAAAAACATTAATGAAATTGGTACACAACCAGTGCTAACAAAACAAACTATACCTATAATCGCAAATCGTAGTTTATTAAAAGAAATAATAAAATTATTACCTTTTTTGAGTTACGCCTAGCCCGGACATACGACACACGCAAAATCGCCTTTGGAAATATTTTCGTTTCTTCTTCGAACGACAATAAGGACAACGCACTCATATTTAATTTATTGAACAACACAAATCACCAGCACAGAGCTCACAGCTATAATTTTACATAATTTTCGGTAAATTAACAGTTCATTTAAATTATAATTCATTACATTACAATTTATTCACTTGCACATAAAAACATAACCAAAACAAAATGGCCAAAAAAAACGTAAACAATAAGTTGACCAAAATTAATATATCTATTTTCAATCAACAAACGCTACGTTTTGTTGACTTCTTAAATTAGTCGGATAACGAAGAAGCAGTGCTTTTGCAGTTGTATAGAAATTACCAACCTAACAAAAAAAAAATCCAACATCAGCACGAGAAAACAAGCAAATTGTACCGGCTACGCATTAGTACATGCTTCCGCCACCATCACACAATAGCGAGGTGGCGGCGCCACTGGCGCAATGCTTCAATATATCGAAGAAAGTAGAAAGTGGTTGTAGTACTTCAATATTTTTTCGATAGATGGCGTTAGTGACCAGTTTTTCAAATTAAGTATCAATAAAATTACGAAATCTCTGTATGATGTCAGTAAATATTCATGTCGTGTTTATGAGTGACACTATGTATTTGACTATGTAGGTTTACCATGATTTTGTAGGGTATGCAGTGCTTATTTGCATGTATGGTGTGCACGCCACTGACCAGACGAGATAGCAGCCAAAAGTTAGCCCATCAATTATAAAAAAAATATTGCATTGTAGTGGTGGGCGTTGAATGAACGGACTGGTCCAATAGACCGGTCGACGGTCCATGAACGTATCGACTGTTCACGTCTGTCGGATAGACTAGTTCAATGCGTAGACAACTTCCGATGAGTCGACGACGCGACGGACAATACTGATACCTAAAATACCATGGACGACTAATACCAAGAACTACGACAGATAAGCACACAATAATTGTAAACAAAAAGTTTTAAATTTTATTACTTAGAGGTTAAGTTTCATTTTCAAATATAAACATTTCTATACTAATGACTTTTTATTTTTAAGCGAAATTTTAAATTTCGAGTTTCGTAGCTCTAAAAAAGGACTTAAATAAATATTTTTTGTAAAAGTAATTAATTAAACTTTATCTTTAAGCATTAAGGTTTATAATAAACTGAAGTTTTCGGTTCGATCAACCATACGACTAGTAGGCAGGTACATCGAACGGAGAACTGTTTACATAGTACAATTAATGTATTACATTCAGTCCACTCGACGTCGCGTCGCGTCAGTCGCTCGCTTGTCGACACGACCCCTCGTTCATAATGTACGAGACCGTGAACCGTCTATATTTTGAACCGGTTCATCGACTAGTCGATGAACGAAAATGAACGGTCTAGTTTCGTTCACGCTAATATCGTCAACGACCTATCCCTATTGCATTGCACCTTCAATTGAAGCACCTCCTCATGTCCAGCAGTGGAAGAAAAGGGGATAATGTTGATGATAATATCAAGTTTATCTCCGAGTAATCGTATCGAGACTATCAAATATAGTATCTCTTATTTGAAGCCTGAAAAAAAGA